CACCACCAACACTGCTGTCCACCTCTTCACCATCTGGGTCCATTGGGATTCGGCTCTCACTCCCGAGGGCATATGACGGTACAGCTGCCGGGTGTCAGGGTTTTCTGCTCCAGGTAGAGCTCTACCTGGCAACCATCCACCCGGCTCCCTCGGGATACGAGAGCGTGTCCACCCTCATCTCCTGTCTGTCCAGTAAGGCGCTCGAGTGGGCCAACGCCGAGTGGGAGGGAATAGATGCCACAACTGCAAGCTATGCGGAGTTTACCCGCCGCTTTAGGGCGGTATTCGATCATCCACCAGAGGGGAGAGCGGCGGGTGAGCGTCTATTCCACCTCAGACAGGGGAAGAGGAGTGCGCAGGAGTTTGCACTGGACTTTTGGACTCTGGCTGCCAGCGCAGGATGGAATGAGAGGGCCCTCATCGACCACTACCGTTGCAGCTTAAGGGAGGACGTTCGTCGGGAACTGGCCTGCAGGGACACCAACCTAAACCCGCGGACGTCCGATCCCTCCTTGACATTCCAGGTTGAGGTGGACGCGTCTGAGGCTGGGATAGGAGCTGTACTGTCTCAGCGCTCGGGTACGCCACCAAAACTCTGCCCCTGTACTTTCTTTTCTAAGAAGCTCAGTCCGGCGGAGCGCATCTATGATGTGGGGGACCGGGAGCTGTTAGCTGTGGTTAAAGCTCTGAAAGTGTGGAGGCATTGGCTTGAGGGGGCCAAACACCCTTTTCTCATTTTGACTGACCATCGCAATCTGGAGTACATCCGGGCGGCGAGGAGGTTGAACCCTCGCCAGGCAAGGTGGGCCATGTTCTTCACTCGTTTTATGTTTACGCTTACTTACAGACCAGGTTCCCAGAACGCTAAGGCAGACGCCCTGTCCCGACTGTATGACACAGAGGAGAGGTCCATTGAGCCCACTCCCATACTTCCGGCTTCATCTCTGGTGGCACCGGTGGTGTGGGAGGTTGACGCGGACATTGAGCTGGCGTTACGTACCGAGCCCACTCCCCCCCAGTGTCCAGAGGGTCGTATATACGTGCTGCTCGAGGTTCGCGATCGATTGATCTATTGGGCTCACACGTCACCCTCCTCTGGTCATCCTTGTATCGGTCGGACAGTGCACTGTCTTAGTGGGAAGTACTGGTGGCCCACTTTAGCCAAGGACGTGAGGGTTTCTGTTTCCTCCTGCTCGGTGTGCGCCCAGTGTAAGGCACCTAGACACCTGCCCAGAGGGAAGTTACAACCCCTACCCGTTCCACAACGGCCGTGGTCCCACCTATCGGTGGATTTTGTTACGGACCTTCCCCCCTCACAAGGGAACACCACAATCCTGGTCGTTGTGGATCGGTTTTCTAAGTCCTGCCGTCTCATTCCTATACCAGGTCTCCCTACAGCCCTACAGACTGCTGAGGCCCTATTTACACACGTCTTCCGGCATTACGGGGTACCTGAGGATATTGTGTCGGATCGGGGTCCCCAGTTCACCTCAAGGGTCTGGAGGGCGTTCATGGAACGTCTGGGGGTCTCGATCAGCCTGACCTCAGGTTTTCACCCCGAGAGTAATGGGCAGGTGGAAAGAGTCAACCAGGATGTGGGTAGGTTTCTGCGGTCATATTGCCAGGACCGGCAGGGGGAGTGGTCGGGTTATATCCCCTGGGCTGAGATGGCCCAAAACTCCCTCCGCCACTCCTCTACTAACCTTACTCCTTTCCAGTGTGTATTAGGTTATCAGCCGGTCCTGGCACCTTGGCATCAGAGCCAGATCGAGGCTCCTGCAGTGGATGAGTGGTTTCGGCGCTCGGAAGAGACCTGGAACGCTGCTCATGTACACCTGCAGCGGGCCATCATGCGACAAAAGGTGAGCGCCGATCGCCACTGCAGTGAGGCCCCGGTGTATGCACCGGGGGACCGGGTCTGGCTCTCGACCCGAAACCTGCCCCTTCGCCTGCCCTGCCAGAAGCTGGGTCGGTGGTTTGTGGGGCCATTTAAAGTCCTGAGGAGATTGAACGAGGTTTGTTATAGGTTACAGCTTCCTCTTAATTACCGTATTAACCCCTCGTTCCATGTGTCTCTCCTCAGGCCGGTAGTAGCTGGTCCACTCCAGGAGTCTGAGGTACGGGAGGTTCCTCCACCCCCACTGGACATCGAGGGGGCACCGGCGTACTCGGTCCGGTCCATCTTGGATTCGAGGCGTCGGGTGGGGGAATGGAGCCGCACGTCAAGGGGGGGTTAGTGTCACGAATTCAGCCGAGGCTGCCCCTCCTCCTTGCTTGGGCAAGCATCGGCATTCGTCGTCACCGGAGTACTAGCTACCACCGATCCATGTGTCTATGTTCGACTTGTTTTGTCTTTATTGGTCATACCTGTTTCCCATCATGTAGTTATGTCTTCCCTATGTCACAGACGGATGGTCTGACATTCTCCTGTAGAATTCTCTGATACAGAGCAGAATTCATGGTTCCTTCTATTAAGGCAAGTCGTCCTGGTCCTGAGGCAGCAAAGCATGCCCAAACCATCACACCACCACCACCATGCTTGACCTTTGGTATGGTGTTCTTACTGTGGAATGCAGTGTTTGGTTTTTGCCAGGCATTACTGGAACCATGTCTTCCAAAAAGTTATACTTTTGAATCATCTGTCCATAGAATGTTCTTCCAAGAGTCTTGATGATCATCCAGATGCTTTTTGGCAAACTTGAGTCACCTTTTTGGACGAGATGGGTCCCATTATGCCTGGCGAAAACCAAACACTTGTATTCCACAGTAAGAACATCATACCAAAGGTCAAGCATGGTGGTGGTGGTGTGATGGTTTGGGGATGCTTTGCTGCCTCAGGACCTGGATGACTTGTCTTAATAGAAGGAACCATGAATTATACTCTGTATCAGAAAATTCTACAGGAGAATGTCAGACCATCCGTCTGTGAGCTGAAGCTGAAGCGCAGCTGGGTCATGCAGCAAGACAATGATCCAAAACACACAATCAAGTCTACATGAAAATTGCTAAAAAGCAACAAACTGGATGTTTTGGAATGGCCTAGTCAAAGTCCAGACCTAATCCCAATTGAGATGTTGTGGCAGGACTTGAAACGAGCAGTTCATGCTTGAAAACCCACACGTCACTGATTTAAAGCAGTTCTGCATGGAAGAGTGGGCCAAAATTCCTCCACAGCGATGTGAGAGACTGATCAACAACTACAGGATGCATTTGGTTGGAGTCATTGCAGCTAAAGGTGGCACAACCAGTTATTGAGTGTAAGGGGGCAATTACTTTTTCACACAGGGGAATTGGGTGTTGCATAATTTTGTTTATGAAATAAATATGTAATTGTTGTGTTATTTGTTCACTTATGTTCCCTTTATCTAATATTAGGTTTTGGTTGAAGATCTGATAACATTCAGTATCACAAATATGCAAAAGTAGAGAAAATTAGAAAGGGGGCAAATACTTTTTCATAGCACTGTATACAGCCAATGACTCCAGGCAAGTTCCCATATTCATAGAACTCTACCTAGTAGTTGGCTTGGGCAGCAGCATCAGGGAACTTGATGGAATTGTCTTTCAGTTCACATATAGCATTACAGTCAGTTCACTTACACCACACAAATCTCCTGTTTCATGAGGAAGGAGGAATGGGCTTTCCCCTAAGAGAGTCAGATGAAAGCCTTGGCTCAAGCAAACAAATTATGTCAGCTGCGTTTTCTTTGTACATACAGAAGCAGTCACGGAAATTTGATTTCATCAAAATCGTTCTGTGGATTGCTCCTGTCTATAACCGCCCTTCTGTCTGGCCTTGGTGGTGCTCTTTGATCATCATTGAAATAGTCCGGGTAATCCATTTTACTCCATTGCCAAGGTCAACCTGGGGGCCAACATCCATTAATCTGAAGTTAAACCTGCCTCTGGACAGGTTTAATTTAAGCCTTCACTTAAATCTAGATTTACTCTAATCGTCCTTCTGGAAATCAGACTTTTTAAATCTAGACTAGGGCAACTCTGAGACTATTTTAAACCATGTCTGAGAAATGCCATTTCAGTTAGTCCAGTTTAAAAGTGAAATTTAGTCTAGGATTAGGCTTAATCTGTGTCCGCGAAACCTGCACCATAATCATGCCAAAATCATGATTCAAAAATGTATTCTCTGACTGACAGATAGCTAATGAAACACTAGCCTCAGCATGCAAATTTACATTTACAGTAGCAGGCTAGTCTAGTCAAACTGTAACACTGGCTAGCTTTCAATAAATTGGCTAAATATGGTCAACGGAGATACCTCTTCATAGATCAAGATAATTCGGATTGTATGCACTCCAAAACAGATATTTTCCTTATTTCAGTCTTTGGGAGCTCATCACACATGGCCCGTTCTATCCGGGATCATTGGGACGTCCCTACCCCATTGAAGTTGACATTTTAAATGGTTAGGGTTAGGTAAGGGTTATGATTAGGGTAAGGGTAGGGGTTAAGCGTAGGGAAGTCCCAAGAATCCCGGATAACACTGACCCATCACACACAGACAGACAGCAGCTCGAGTTTTCAAGTGAGGTTTAGATAGAAGCAGGTCATTGGCTGCCTTCATCACGAGGTATGTACGGGAGTTCTGATTGGTTCCAAGTTTAGCTGTTCGGCAAATTTGCCTGAGCAGTGCTGAAATTGACTTTTTATGAGAATGTTTTACTGTCATATACAAAAAAAAAACAGCAACTCCCTCAAGGGGGATCGATCAACTTCACGTTTATCGGCTTCGGCACAGCACCTAAGATGAAAGGAGAAGGCTTTAGTTAGTCAGTAAAAACAAAAGTATCTGAGTTTTCAATATATTTCCTAAAATGGAATAATGGACCACTGACCATTGTTTCGTCTACGAATAACATTGCTTTATTAACTAAGGTCTTCACATTTAATTTAGATATTTGTGCTATAGTTTTTTTTTGGTATTTTCCCTTCTGAAAACCAAGATAATTACGTCATCTTTCCAGTAAACTAGGGTGTGGCGTGGCGCACGTCCGTACGTGCGGGGAGGCGCTATAAAGGGTTGTTTTCCACTTTGCAAGCTAAACAATCTCCATTTTGTGAGAGCCTTTCAGCCGACTAAAGCGTCGTCCCCGTGAAAAGGAAGATTCAAAGAACAACTAAAAACACAAATTAAGCCAACCAGTCGATCGCTAACCAGTTATTATCCGAAAGGAAAGGAAATCTTATCGTATGTCCGCTATCCAGAACCTCCAAACTTTCGGTAAGACATTTCAACCATCTCAACTACCGCGGGGTCGAAAAAGTGGGGGAAGGGTGGTTGCTAACGTTAGCTAGCATTTGCAAACATTTTGACGACGTTCCAACTAAATATAACGTTTTGATTTTAATATGTTCATGAAACATTGTTAGTTATATCGATCATTCCCTTCCTAATGGGAAATAAGTTTATATTAAGGTTAACGTTAACCAACATCCATCAGACTTCAACTAGGCCGAAGTTAATTTCCTTGTTTAGGCCCCAACATTGATTTGTAGCCGGTATAGCAAACTAGTCTGTATTGTGGACACATTGATCAATGTACAATACCTATTCCGGAGAATAACTAGTTCTTACTGTCATTTGTGTGTTTCTGGCACGATAACTATCAACAACGGACCAAATATAAATGTAGCTTTTTGCCCCAATTTGTTTGCAATACGACTGTCGGGAAGGTCTTTGGTGTGAAACGGGAACTATTTGAAGGTAAATGGCCAGATCCCATAATATAGGCCCGCTTAATTGTGTGCTTCTCCAACATTCATGACTTCCGAAATTTCGGCATGTTTTGCTGGAATGGTTGGCTATCTGTATTGGTGCATTTTCCTTTCTCCCATGTGTCACTAATCTCAATATTACGGATAAATTAAGGTCTGCGCATATTAGCCACCCATCTTGGTGGGACATTTTTCAAAAACCCCATTGTCCATGTAAATTGCTGACCAGCATCTGCGCTGGGTTTTGCTTCGCCCTGAGCCTCGTGGATAAGACGTTACGTCACCAGTTCATCGGCCTGGATCTTTTGTTAGCTAGGTCAAACAAAACACTGCCATTTTAGCTATCACTTTAGGTTGCTTGCGTATATTTTTAGATGAGATGTTAGTTTTGAATTATGTTAAGTAAAGTGATTTTGTTTTTAAATGGTATTGTTCTTCCCACAGACCCATTTGCTGATGCAACTAAGGGTAATGACAGGCTCCCATCTGGGACTGACGACTACATCCACATAAGAATCCAGCAGCGTAACGGCAGGAAGACTCTGACCACGGTCCAGGGCATAGCCATCGACTATGATAAGAAGAAGCTAGTCAAGGCCTTTAAGAAGGTATGTTATGGCAGGGAGTTGAGACACTGACACTAGCTGGTATACTCAGAAAGGTCCATGTTTTGTTCTACAGGCCTTTTGACTAGTTCTGCTTTGTCAACAGAAATTTGCCTGCAATGGGACAGTGATTGAGCACCCAGAGTATGGTGAAGTGATTCAGCTGCAAGGTGACCAGCGCAAGAATATCTGCACTTTTCTGATTGAGGTATGTTTGAGTCTTGTCCCTGCTATAGCACATTGCACCCAGTATATACTCCACACTTGTGTGTACTAAGTGGGCATCTGCCATGGCCCCTACAGAAGGCTCCCATACAAAAGCCCCTCTTTGTAAACAGTCCAGCTGCGATGGTAGTAAATGTTCTGTGACTGGAGTGCAGAGTTCCTTTTGTGTAATGTCTCTTCTCCTTCCCACTTCCAGATTGGCCTGGCAAAAGAGGAGCAGCTCAAGGTCCACGGGTTCTAGAAGCTCTCAGCAGCCCCCTCTCCCCTGGTCCTGATACTCTCCCCACCCCCCCCCCCCGGTGCTGCAATCACCGCAGCTGTTTTAAGCTAATGATGAATACTTCTGAATTGACTCTTAACTACCAGTTTAACTCCCCCCTCATACGGGAGCAGTCCAGTACAAACATGGACAAATGGTTCGACAGATGCGGGATGAGTGGTTTTGTTTTTTCCTGAAATTTTTTGTTTGCCATGTGACAGGCACAATTCCATGTAACTCTTTTTGTTTTGTACAAACTTCAATAAAATGATCAACCGCCACCTCATGCGGAATCCTGTTGTGTGGGATTTTGGGGGGGGGGGGGGGGGGGTTAGAGTGGATAAGGGTGGTTCAGTTTGGGGAGAAGCCCTCAACTGCAGTTCCAATGTGTTGTAGGGCTGCCTGCTTCATTCAAGGTTAGAGTGCAGCTGAAGTTCTAACCATCTCAGCCCCATCTCCCGTCTACAAGATTGTGCTTCTTTAAAAAAAAAAAGTAAATTATAATATGCTGAATTTTCTGAAGCTGTTATACTTAAGATTTTATTTTAACTAGAATTTTAAAGTACTCATCTGCCTGGTTGTCAGATGACTGGTGTTATGAAGCAAGTTTGCTTACAGCAATGGTAGTATTGATGCTGAGCTACCGACCTGAAAATGGAGTGGGGAAATAACTGTTTTTAAATTCCACATTTTATTCAATAAATATTTGAAATTATCTCGTTTCATGGGGTACAATTATTTGAACTTAATAGTGGCGTTTGTGATGGAATACATTACTATGAAGGGACCATACCAATTTTTATCCCTATGATAATTTGGTCAATATTGATTAAAAAGCCAACAAACTGCTTATTCTACAGGACCTGGTGTATTGCTGTTGAGGATAGGGCAGTATGAAGAAAAATGTATGCACTCACTTAGTCGCTCTGGATAAGAGTGTTTGCTAAATGACATGTACATTAAAGATGTGGGGAAAAGGGTCTTCACATGCTAGTGCTGATGACTGCTTTCTTGAGGAACGTTTTACTTCCAATGATTGTGATGACCTTTGAATGCGCTGACTGTCTCTGGATAAGAGCTTCTGCTAAATGTAAAATAAAGCTGGAAGTGAACAGCCACACAGACGTTCAGCCAGCGTCTTGACCTAGATTGGGAGAACAATCTGGCTGTTCATGCAAGATCAGGTCTTGACTCAACATTACATTTACATTTTAGTCATTTAGCAGACGCTCTTATCTGGGAGGGGGGGCATTCGTTACATGTTGAATATAGTGCAATTTTGAGTAACAGTTTGAGAACATCACAAGAAGCTCTAAGTCAAACAGGATAGCCACATGGCATCTCACTGATCAAAAGATAAGTGTCCCTATTTTCCTCCCTCTCTTTTGTGGCAGTGGGAAATACTCTAGTGCTGCATGGAATTACTTTTTCTCTGGCTGTGCAGATACCATCAGTTCATTTGACGCTATCTAACAAGAGGTCTACCATCTACCCAATCTGTCCTTACCTTGCACCATATGTGGAGTTCTTATGATGGAGTAACAACCAAGCCAGTTATTCTATTGGTTATCACTGCATTAAATCAACCATTTGTTTTGTGCATCTGTTTTCTCATAGTACTTTGTCATGTTTTTGTTTACAATGGGAAGACAAGGGAGACATTTTGGACCAGGTATTTTTCTCTCATGATTTAGGCCTTGAATGTTTTATGTGTAAAGAAAACACAGTTAAGACACATTGAGAAAGAATCCTAGTGGAGCAGGATCAAACACGGCACACAACTTGGTAAATAGTCACTGCAATATTTATGTCTTCATGTGACACTGTTTGGACCTGGCAGACTGCATGATGCAGCTCAATTACACCAAACCAAGGTACTGTTATACTATGCATTCTCACTAGGGGGCACTATAACAACAGTTGTTTCAATATTTTGTTTTTAAAATATACTTTAATCAATGCACACACAGGGACATTGTTTTTTCTTGTCTTGAGAGTGTGTGGTGTTTGATGGACACATTGTCTGTATATGGGTGAGTCTGACATGCTGCCAAGCTTTAATGTGAGTCAACTTGGTTATTCATTTTCATATGAGAAAACTGAAGGGCAAAACTCAGTGGTTAACCATAGATTTCTGTAGCCTTCTTTATCAGCCTCAGTACTCAGTGTTACAAGTTGTCTTGAATAGCTGTTGCTGTAATTTCCCCTATCCATATCTTTAATATGCTTTGGGTTTTTATTTTCTACACTTACTTAGTCAAATAGCAGACTCCAGGGCCTTTCCAGTGTAGGTGGGAATTCACCAGTTGGAAAGTCATAAATACCAGTTGGATGCATTCACGCGCTTTGAACTCATTGAGAAACACAGATTGGCTAATGGCCAACAAGCTGTGTAAACCATAAACTAAAAGTACAGCTATCTCACTTGTAAACAAATTATAGTGTTAAAAAAACATGAATACAATTATTTTTATAAATAATGTTTTGTTGTTGCATTTGCCGAAAATGCTGTTATCGAGGTCATTTCCTTAGTAGGTGATGTCAGAGCTCAGCATGTGGGAGAAGTGGTAGCTCAGGATGATGTACGAGTTTCCCACTAGTAATTGTTGGAGGGTCGTTCAAGTTGTTTTTTCCCAGTCGTACAGTATGTGGTAAATTCCCACTTGGTTACGAACGCAGCATTAGAGAAGGAGGAGGGCAATTCCAGGATAACAGAGTGATGCTGAGACTCACTTTTTCACTTTAAAAGGTATAACAAGCAAAAACCATCGATTGCAAAGTTTATCAAACCCTACACCTATATGAAGAAATCTACTTTTAACAATTGACTCTGAAAATTGTACTAAAACACATTTACTTGAGGGACAGTGCAGATGCAAAGTTTGGTAACAGAATGACAGTAAAATCTCCCTCAGTTTTTATTTGACCACATTTTCCAAAAATGGTTAAATATCTCATCAGAATTAAGATTCAAAGATGTCTGCAGAAATAATGGGGTGTCAGCTATGATATGACACTGGAGGCTCTGTTTTAACAAACCTAACGCAAAGGTAAATCTTAGCGCTGACAATCGTGCTATAGCTTGATAAGTTCGGGGTGTGTCAGAAATATTTTTGATACTTTCACAACCGGAATTATGGGCGCAGTAGCTGGCGGTGGTTGTGGGTGTGTCGAGGCTTGACACCAATCAGAACGTGCTCCATGGCTAAATATGTAGTTGCTTGAAGTTGTGTATTTACTGTATTTTATGTGTTGCGTTGTCATCAACTCCAATTTGAATGTTAGTTTGTTAGCCTGCCCCATGCATTGCTTGAATATGGAAATACTGTACATTGTTAAACATAGACGCTAGACGAGGGGAAAAATTCACTCTAACATGCATTGATGGATCAAAATCTAATCTGATAGCATTCGCACTGATATAGGGGCTAGGCCTACTGTTAATTGCAGTCTGGACATACCAAACATAGTCAATAAGCAAGACTGCATTCACTAGGCTATTGATGAGGTCTAAAAATAGTGTATAATTCTAATCAAATTCTAATAAAAATGAAACAACATGTTTTAAATAGGGAGTATAATACAGACAAGGCAACTTAGACTATGGAGGGTTTTACGCACATCCAAACTTTTCACAGGAGCTGGACAAAGATCCAAAATAAAGAGAAACATCATGGAACCAATTTACAGTTCATATTTGCAGTTCTCCAAAAATAGCAGACGAAATTGCATTGCATTCGAGCCATGTACGTTCTCAACATAAACCCACGGACTGTGAATCTTTCGAATAAGTAAAAAAAAAAAAATTCGTTCTTTTCAAACAACAACAATATTTATGAATAGGATTGGGTCAGAAGCATGATATCATAATTTGCGTCTCTTGTTCCATGAGCATAAGGCAATGTCTGCACACATAGTCCTCAAGGCATCTGCATACATAGGTTCAATTTGCTCCTAGCAGAACTGAGCTAGGTGAATACTCCCTAAAGACCTTTGCTTGAAAAACAAGAAAAAGGTGGCAATATTACTGTTGTTTGTAGCAGCAACATAGCCAGAAACACTTCCTCAAAAAAGTCTGATAAATCAAGAAATCTGTCATTAATTTTGAGATCTTGTGGCAGGACTTGAACCAAGCAGTTCATGCTTGAAAACCTACAAATGTCGCTGAGTTAAAGCAGTTCTGCATGCAAGAGTGGGCCAAAATTCCTCCACAGCGATGTGAGAGACTGATCAACAACTACAGGAAGCATTTGGTTGCAGTCATTTCAGCTAAAGGTGGCGCAGCCAGTTATTGAGTGTAAGGGGGCAATTACTTTTTCACACAGGGGAATTGGGTGTTGCATAACCTTGTTACTTAAATAAATAAAATAAGTATCAATTTTTTGTGTTATTTGTAAACTCCGGTTCCCTTGATCTAATATTAGGTTTTGGTTGAAGATCTGATAACATTCAGTATCAAAAATATACAAAAATAGAGGAAATCAGAAAGGGGGCAAATACTTTTTCACAGCACTGTATACCTCAGCCTACTCAACCCAATTACTCACAGACACCCCTGTCCTGTCACCCTATGCCCTAACCTTAATACCCACATGCCAATACCCTAATATTGATACAATCATGTACAGATACACCCATATCCTAGCTCTAAATTCCCTATTTGTTACTCATAGACGCCAGTACATTTGCCAATACACCTCATCCCTGTTACTTGCCAATCTCAGCCCTGTTACCCACTTTAATTAGGCCTGTATTCCCCAAGTCACCAACAGTAACCTACAGTGCATTCGGAAAGTATTCAGACCCCTTCCCTTTTTCCACAATTTGTTACGTTACAGCCTTATTCTAAAATGGATGAAATAAAAAGAAATCCTCATCAATCTAAAAACAATACCCCATAATGACAAAGCGAAAATAGTTTTTTAGATTTTTTTGCAAATGTATAAAAAATAAAAAAAACTGAAATACCTTAAGTATAAGCTATGAGACTCTAAATTGAGCTCAGGTGTATCCTGTTTCCATTGATCATCCTTGAGATGTTTCTACAACTTGATTGGAGTCCACCTGTGGTAAATTCAATTAATTGGATATGATCTGGAAAGGCACACACCTGTCTATATAAGGTCCCACAGTTGACAGTGCATGTCAGAGCAAAAACCAAGCTATGAGGTCGAAGGAATTATCCGTAGAGCACCGAGACAGGATTGTGTCGAGGCACAGATCTGGGGAAGGGTAAAAAACATTATGCAGCATTGAAGGTCCTCAAGAACACGGTGGCCTCCATCATTCTTAAATGGAAGAAGTTTGGAAACACCAAGACTCTTCCTAGAGCTGGCCGCCCGGCCAAACTGAGCAATCGGGGAGAAGGGCCTTGGTCAGGGAGGTGACCAAGAACCCGATGGTCACTCTGACAGAGCTCCTGAGTTCCTCTGTGGAGATGGGAGAACCTTCCAGAAGGACAACCATCTCTGCAGCACTCCACCAATCAGGCCTTTATGGTAGAGGCACATGACAGCCCGCTTGGAGTTTGCCAAAAGGCAGCTTAAGGACTCTCAGACCATGAGAAACAAGATTCTCTGGTCTGATGAAACCAAGTTTGAACGCATTGGCCTGAATGCTAAGCGTCACGTCTGGAGGAAACCTGGCACCATCCCCTACGGTGAAGCATGGTGGTGGCAGCATCATGCTATGGGGATGTTTTTCAGCGGCAGGGA